CATTTATGTTGACTATCAGTAGTTGTCAGTGTTCTTAGAGAAGTTGGGAAGAGAATGAATTTAGGAACATTAACCCAATTAGAGCCTAACTAAGGCCACAGTGTAATGTTCATTATTCATCACACAGGTTATTACTTTAATGAGAAAAAAATATTTTTTAAAGAGTAAGAATTAACCTACAGCAATTTTTAGAACACTGAACTGACCTGAAAACTGCCTTATGTTTAATTTTATTATATTCATAAACATTGATAAATATTAAAAACAAGTCATAAATTATCACTGAAATATGTGGGGTTGTTTTCGTCTGACTTTAAAGAATTCTATCACATCTAACATTTCTCTGTCTTGAAGTATAGACCCAAGAGCCTTTAGCCTATACACTTATCTGAATCATCCATCCATCCAACTAACAATGAGTTCCTATATCGTATCATCAACTTTAAAGAGTATGAGAAATGCAAAGAGAAGTGAAGTGGATTAACCATTGAGGTTATTTTTTGGAAGTGGGTATGCCCATATATTTGGCTCTCTTTATTGAGTTTTACTTTTCTACATACCATAAAATTCACTCTTTTTGGTATACAGTTCTATGAACAATGCATAAAGTTGTGTAACCGCCACAACAACCAAAAAAAAAAAAATAGTTCTACATGACCCCAAAACTCCTTTATGTTACTGCTCAATAATTTAGTTTTACACATACTGAGTCTGAGGAGTCTGAAAGATATGCTGATGGAAATGTTAAATAAGATGAAAAATTGTGACTTGGGCTTTGGAGAAATCTGTGCTGGAAATAAAAGTTTGGCAGTTTTTGCCCATAGACTGAGCCAAACTTATGGGGAAGAGACTGCCTGAGGCACAAACAAGGGAGTTTGAGGATGACCTTTAGAAACATCAATATTTACACAGCAAATGCAAAAAGAGGAAAGCAATATTATAAAGGGAAGGCCAAGATAGAATGGTACCACAGAAGCCAAAAAGAGAACTTTCTGAAAGAGAAAGTGGTTAATTGTTGGTGGCCAAGCCCATGACAGTAGCATGTTAACATAAGAACTGAAAAGCATTTTGGCAAATAGGAAGTAATCACTAACTTTAATGAGAGCAATTTCACTGAATTGATGGGTGCAAGAGCTCAACAATGCTTTGTAGAGTTAATAGGAAACTGGAACAAAGGATAAAATTTTAAATAGTGCTTAATGAAACATACTAACTCAAGGGAGGAAAGGTATGAATATGGCTACAAGTTGAGAAAAGACAACTTTAAGCATAAAACCGGAAACTGCAATTAAGAACATGCAAGGTGGGATCCCTGGGTGGCGCAGCAGTTTAGCGCCTGTCTTTGGCCCAGGGCACGATCCTGGAGACCCGGGATCGAATCCCACGTCAGGCTCCGGGTGCATGGAGCCTGCTTCTCCCTCTGCCTGTGTTTCTGCCCCTCTCTCTCTCTCTCTCTCTCTCTCTCTGTGACTATCATAAATAAATTTTAAAAAGTTAAGAAAAAAAAAGAACATGCAAGGTAAAACGTGCTGCATAAAAAATGAGATTCATCTCTCTCTGAGTGGAGATGCTCAACAGTAAAAGCAAGTATAGAGCTTCTTGGCATTTACCCAAATGAGATGAAAACTTGTATTCATAGAAAAACCTGCACACCAATATGCATAGCAGCTTTATTCATAATTGCCAAAACTTGAAAGCAACCAACATGTCCTTCAGCAGGTGAATGGATAAACAAATTATACGTCCATACAATGAAATATTACTCAGTGATAAAAATAATCTATCATGCCACTTTAAGAAATGGAGGAAACTTAAATGCATATTATTAAATGAAAAAATTCAGTCTGAAAGGGGTTACATGCTGTGTAATTCCAACTATAAAACATTCTAGCAAAGGCAAAACTATGGAGACATTAAAAAGATCAGTGGTTGCCAGGAGTTCAGTGGAGAATGCAAAAAATGAATAGTAGAGCACAGGAGATTTTGAGGACAGTGAAACTATTCTGTATGATATTGTAGTGATGGATACCTGTTGCATCATTATGTATTTGTCAAAACCCATAGAATGTATAACACAAAGAGTGAGCCCTGAGGTAAAATATAAACTACAGTTAATAATGCTGTATCAATATTGGCTCATCAATTTTACATGTACCAAACTAATGCAAAATGTTAATTATACGGAACCTATATATGGGAGGGGTCATGCAGGAATTCTCTGTGCTTTCTACTCTTCAGTATATCTAAAATTGTCCCTTAAAAAAATAAAAGCATAGAGATGTAGTACAGAGAAGCAATAATGAACTTTAATTTTCATTAATTAGCAGGAGAAAGCATGGGTATGTATCACTGAGAAAATGTTCTCTCACATTCTATTTATAATTTTAATTTAAAATATTTATAATTATAAATTATAATATATTATAATCCAGAATGAGGGGATATGTCCTAACTGATTTTCCCTAAAATTTCAGTGTCCAGGTAGCAGGCAAACAAGTGACTACTGATGTAAGGAAAGTAGTCATTGACTTTTGAAATACAGATGCTTATCATTGGCATCTCTATATGATGAAACTGATAAATTTCTTGAAATTTAATTCATACCTCAATCTACTATTTTATTATAAATCATGAGATTGATATTGAACCATGTTACGCATAATTTGAGTAAATACTACCATTTAAAAAACTGGAAAGAATCCATTCTTGAAGAAAAAAATAAAAAATGTATTCACCAGAGTTGTAGAACATCATAAAAACAATCTTTAAATTTATGTACAACTATAAAGATTAGAAAAATAATACATATTTTAAGATACCCTAAAGTGTTAGGGTTATTTATGTTTGTTTTTATTAACTGTAAGAAAACATAAAGATTCTAACTTCCAATGTCTGATAAGTTTCACTGACACTTCAATAGGCCTGATAAAACCAATGGTTCTCAAAGTGTGGTCTGTACACACCCAAAGTCCCCAAGTCCATTCAAGGGGATCTATGAGATCAAAGTAATAACATTAAGATAATCATGCTGTTTTTACCATGTTGACATTGATAATACAAAAAATAACTATGGGTAGGGCAGCTGGCTCCCTAATATGAATCACGGCAGTAGCACCAAGACCAATAGTAATTACTGTAGTCATCAATGCTATACACTCAGTAAAAAGCTACTTTCACTGAACAGTGTCCTTGATAAGTAGTAAAAACTATTAATTTTATTAAATCTTGAACATACATCTTTTTAGTATTCAGTGGGATGAAATGGGAAGTATGCATTAAGTACCTATGTTGCATCACAGTATGATCAATCATACTTTGAGGAAAAATGCAGCTAGGAGCTGAAAAAAACCTCATTGATCATGAAATACCATGTTTACTTGAAAGAACAACTGACAGGGGCCCTTGAGAGGTTTAGTCAGTAGAGCATGAAACTCTTTAAAAAAAAAATTGAGAGAGGAAAAAAAGAGAGAGCAGGAGCACGAGAGAGACAGACAGAGAGAGAGAGAGAGAGAGAGAGAGAGAGAAACTGAAGCAGACTCCATGCTGAGAGCGGAGCCCAATGTAAGGCTTGATCTCATAACCCTGAGATCATGACCTGAGACAAAACCAAAACTTGGATGCTTAACTGACTGTGCCACCCAGGCACTGCAAGCATGTGACTCATGATCTCAGGGTTGTAAGTTCAAGACCCACACTGGGTATAGACTAGATAGATAGATAGATAGATAGGGAGAGATAGAACAAACGATTGATAAACAATGGATATTGAAGCATTTGTCAAATATTAAAAAAAAAAAAAGAACAAAGGGAACTATGATTTCAAGAACTCATTGCTATAGATTTAAAAACCAGACTTAAAAAAACAGATTTTTGGGGATCCCTGGGTGGCGCAGCAGTTTGGCGCCTGCCTTTGGCCCAGGGCGCGATCCTGGAGACCCGGGATCGAATCCCACATCGGGCTTCCGGTGCATGGAGCCTGCTTCTCCCTCTGCCTGTGTCTCTGCTTCTCTCTTTCTGTGACTATCATAAATAAATAAAAATTTAAAAAAAATTAAACAAAAAAAACCCAGATTTTTAAGTAGAAATTAGAATTTTAGAAAATTTGTATCTGCTACTACTGTGAGCTTGATAGCTTCCCCATACTTAAAAAAATTCTGATTAGATTGGTGGTAATATTAACAAATGTTATTTAAAAAGTATTATATAAAGAAATATGTCAACATTTGGAAGATCTACATAATCCAGTGAACCAGTATTTTCCAAATGATTAATGCATGATGCTATAAAGTCATGTATGGGTAAAAGATCCATTCAAACTACAAGACAGATTAATGGAATGCAATGTAAGTAAGTACTAAAAAATCATTTATATGGTTTCAGATTCCATATTGCAACTAACTTTAAGAAAAAAATCACTTATTGAATTGGGGTGTAGTGACAAATAAGAATATCCACATTATTTTGAAAATACTTTTAAAATCTTTCTCCCTTTTCCAGCTACCTATGTGAACAAAATTGTTCTCATCTACTTCAACCAAAACATCAAAATACACTGAATGCAAAAGCAGGTATAAGAACATAGCTACCTTCTATTAAGCTATATATTAAATATAATTATTAAAATGTAAAACAGTGACATTCTTATTTTAAATAGTTACTTTTAATACAAATGTTATTTATGTTAACGTGTAACAAGCTTATTAATGTTGGTTAAAGTCAATTAATAAATATATTTTAAATTTCTTTGTTTTGTATTTCTACAATGGTAAACGTTGATAGGTATAACCCACAGAAACAAAAAGCTCTCTGGGGTCTTCAATAATTTTTGAGTATAAAGGGTTCCTGAAACTACTAGAATAAACTATTTTCAGAGTGACAAAGTTATCTAAAAATAAAACCATAATTCCTAATCAATGACTTAGAACATGATAATAAAAGGCTGATTTGATACTCAATATAATTGAAGCAAGTGATAAAACATTTTCTTGATATTAACTTACAAAGAGAATTCTGTTTTACTAATTTCAGTTGTGATGTAGTCAATTTTTCTCCTTGCTGTCTTTTATTCTCTTCATCACCTTCCTCATCTTGAACTACAAAGTCATCAATAATATAATCATCTCCATCTTCATCATATTCATAATCATCCTCCTCCTCATCATCATTATCATCATTCCTTGGGCAGGATTCCTTTTCAGAGTCCTAATTAAGTTAAAATATATCCTTCAGTAAATTTTTACCTTTAAATTGTCAGTATGGAATATGAAATTAAAAGACTAAATCTGAGACCAAAACAATGATCCATGGAAATTAATTTCATATTGTAATGTTTAAAAAAAAAAAAAGTCTTGTCACGTTAAATGTTGAACTTTTGGAATTAGGAAGAATATACCTTGGTAAATGCTATAAAGTGTTTAAACTGGACATTAAGATCATAAGTAGAAGGTAAAAAGAGGAAAGACCATATCAAACAGTCTTTCAATTTTAAAACAGTGATAAACTGAGGCTCATGATAAAACAGTATATTAGATACAACAGTGCGATCAAACGTGTTTAAGGATACTTGACTAAAAAATAAATTCAAAATTGAGAAACAGAATGGACTCAGCACTTTGTTTTTTTATAAAAATTAAACACTTTAAGGAAATGTAAAAACAGTAACAAAACGAATAAAATGTAACACACCTCAAAATGTCTACTACTATTGCGTCTCTGACGAGATCTTTGTTTTGAGAGTTCTTTCAGTTTCTGGAATTTTTCTCGCTTTCTTGCAGCTAAAGTTTTTTCAGGTTTTTTTTGCTCCATCTCCACTGAAGAACATTCATCTTCAACCACTCTACGTGGACGTTTAACACCTACTTTTCTAACGAGGATATCACTGTCGTCACTCTCATCACTGTCATACATAACTGAGGAGATCCTTTTTCTCTTCCCTCGCTTGATGTGTTCTTCTTCTATGTCATCTTCTATTATTTGTCCTGTATGTTTATTGAGATCATCATCCTCTTGACTTAAAAGCTTTTCATGATCTGGTAAGTCAATACTTCTATGTTTGTTTTTGTTTTCTTCTTCTTCATATGTGGAACTGTTGCCAGTGTTCATGAGATGCTCACAGTTACTACCTTTGCTTTCAACTTTAATTAATGTAAGTTCTCTCTCATTTTCCGGCTTTTTATTACTATCAAACCCCTTGTTACTGTCAAGCTCTTCATCACTGTCAAGCTCTTCGTTGCTATCAAACTCTTCCTCACTGTCAAACTCTTCGTCACTATCAAGTAACTGTGAGATACTACTTCTTTTAGTCCGCCTCCAATCCACTCGAGATTTCTGCTCACGCTCTTGAGTTTTAGAATTTTTCCTTGTTTCGTGTCTTCTAACATGTACCATTTTCACTTAAGCTTCTACAAAAAAAGTTATTAGGAATATAATAATGAAAACCAGATTACAACAATGAATGCATTTATGGTACAAACTATATTTATTTGGTGTTATAAAATGGTTCACAAAGGTAAAAATCATATAAAATATCTAAGTGACGATGGCAGAATAGTTATTCAACAATTTATTGAACATCTATAAAATAATCATATGAAAATCTATTCTGAATTATTCTATATTTTGTGCTAAAATGGATACATAGAAAAATAATGGTCCTGTTCTCCAGAAGATTATCCATGGGTAGAACATACCAACATATATTAAGAAAAATGCAAGGTATTTATTTGATAGAAAACAAGAGATAAAAATAACTGCAATAAAATTATAAAGATGCAGAAGAACAATATAGCAAGTCCTTCACTTAAGATTTTATGGAACAGTTATGATCTGAGAGACTACTAAAGGAATGGCTATCTTTCAACAAAAAGAATGACAGAGAATAGGATTTCAGGCATGTAAAAATGCTAAGGTCAAAACTTCAGCACTGAGAGAGAACATGGTACATTAAGTAATTTAAGTGTGACCAAAAGGGTGTGAAGAAAGGCTTTATGCTGGAAAAAAAAAGAGACAACTATAGAAAGATAGGGTGGGATTACCAGAATCATTCATCCTTAGGCAAAGTATTCTGAACGGAGAAATGATATGAATTATAACATAAAGGATCAATTTATATGAAGAAAGTTAAAAAGTAGTAGCTGACAAAAGACAGCAGTGCAAAATTAAGAGACCACTTATTCACTAAGGTGATATACTTTATACTATACTTTAGTATATACTTTAGTAAAATGGCAATGGCTTTAAACCACTCAAAGGTAAAGATACAATCCAACAGAAAACTTACTAATAATCCAAAACTGGGTGAAAAACTAAAGTTTCATGGTGAAGCAAAGTATGATATTGGGAAGGAAAACAAATGCTGTATGTTTCTGATTCAGCAAAGACTGACCTCCATTAAATTTACCACAAGTATATAATAAAGGAACAATTAGAGAGAAGTAAGATAACTAGAAGAGTAACACATAGTTAATTCTGTAGTTGCTAAGGAAAATAGACATATGATCACACTGTAATGAGACTAACCTCATAATATATGTATAAGGACTTATATGTTCTATTGAGAGTTATCTCCAAAGAAATCACCTTATGAGTCTAATTATTCCAATATTTGCACCACGGCACAGAATATTATTGGAGATTTTCTATAAAACAGAGTATCAAAAAATACATTAAAAATATAAAAATAACCATACTCCATTTTTTTTTTTTATCCCAAAGACTGGTTTAAATACCCATTTTATTGACTTGTTTTAGTTTAGGGACTGTTAGCAGCTTCCAGAAATGAAATCTAATTTCGAAAGATGAATATTAATTGCCAGTACAGGTATTTTTTAAAATGTGCTGTAACTTTGAAAATAGTCCAAAAATAGAATGCCAAAATTTTCTGAGCAATGGCAGTATCACTCAATCAAGTTTATAGCTTTCCAAGATGATTCCTCTTTTGGGTGGGTAGGAGTGGAGGAAGTACTGCTCATTTTATTGTACAAATTCTGTTATGTTAAAAGGCAATGTGACAGTTTCTAGAATGGTAACAATTCATGCAAAATCAGAATAATGGTTGCTAAGATCATATACCAGAAATTATCTTCGTAGGCTGAAGTGTGACCTTACAAGAGCAACTGCTGTGAGTTAACAGAAGGCTTGTATTAAAATCAACAAAGATGAGAACTGTGGTCAAAACTACCTCTAAAAAAATCTCTTTAAGGTATGTTTTTTATATGTTACACTGCTTCACAGTAGGTCCATGCAGTTCTTCTCCAGGTTTTAAACAGATTACTGTTGTTGTTTTTAAAATTAAGCACCAGATAAACTATGCAACTGATATCGTGAAGCCATATAGTGCAAATAAGTAATTTTTAAGCATAGACAGTTAAATTTGAACAAACTGTGCATGTGCATTACACTACAATGTCTTTCTAATAAGTCTGAATTGGGAGGAAAAAAATGAAAAAATATCTATGAAAACAAATGACAAATACAGTCTCAGCAGATACACTAAAGCAAGTGTGAACAGCAGGAACATTAAATGAAAGACGATTGTATTAGTACTCAACAGCAGCTTCATGTACACCAGATGACTATCTCACAAAGCTGTACCATGTCAAAAGACAGTTATTTATCACATCAATAGGTAACTTCCTATGACAATGGTAGAAATGAGTAAGAATGTGACATTATAAAAATACCTATCACTGCACATGGTTGAGCTATTAAAAAATCCTATATGTAGAGGAATTTTTTAGTGCATTTTCGTATGTTTTTAAATATTGACAATGATCCTAGAAGGAAGATGACTGTCTACCTTCATTTATAAATATCAAAGCCAAGGATATAGAGTTTAAATGACTTACCGAAGATCACACAGCTTGTCAGTGACAAAGCAGGGATAAGAAACCAGGTCTCCTGATTCGCCCCATTGTCCAGTTCTATACAATGACTGCTGCCAATATTATATTTGTATAAGGTAGTAAAAATCATGCCTTTAAAAAGTCATTGTTCTATCTCTCATTCATGCTAAACTTTAGTTTCATAAAATAATCATCAAAATAGTTTAGAGTTTACAAACATGCTTTTTAAAAAGTTATGTAACAGAATTTTAGTGCACATGAGTTAGGCCAGAAACTTCTGGAAATCGTCCATCCAATTGGCAAGAAAAGAATGTGCAAAAGAGATGAAAGTCTGAAACTTCCCTCTACCATCTTATCGATGACACTCATCACAAAACTTAAGGATTCCCCATTGAGTCCAAAAGTAAAAACTTCAAAAAAGTCAGTCTCTGATGAGAAAAAAAATTTTATTTGGGAAAACTGCAATATTGAATATTTGAAGAAACAAATTTTGTTCAAATAAAATAGACCAACTTTCATTTGTCCAACTGCCAAATTTCCACGGTCTCTCTTCATATTTCAGAACTGCTATTTTATCAATAATGCCAAAAATTATGTCATTGAAAAAGAAGGTAATTTAAATATGGTTGGCTTCCTCTTTTAAAATCGTGAATACTTTTACTAGGTTAGCTGGGGAGGGAAGAATGATGACAGAGGGAAAAAGTGAACTGAACCTGAGGAGAGAATGAGAAGGTGAAGGCAGGTTGATGAATAAGACATCTCTTGATCGTTTGAATTCACTCAAAAAAAAGAACCCATGCAATGGATGTAATTTCTTTATATGATGAGTATACAATTTCTTGAAATGAGAATTTAATCAAGCTTCTTTAATGACACCTTACCTTTAGGCCAAGAGAAAAACAAAGAAACTGCAAACAGAAAGCATTAGATAAATGAAGAGGGTCAATACTGTCACGTCTTGGTGCTTCACAGTCAATGTCACGTAAAAGGCTGCACAAAGCTACGCTGTCTGCCGAAGAATGCAAGCTAAGAATCCATACTGCTCTCTCACACGGTAACTCCACCACTGAAAGTACTCTGATGAGTCTACTAGAATTTCTCATCAGAAGAAATATCCCTTACGTGTAGACTTCGAGGTCGATTCATTTAAAGATTCGTTCTAGGGATGAATGAATGTCACATTTTTAAGGCCAGAAGGGCAGTGGGACCCCAACCATTACTTGAAACTCCACCAGGAGGGGTGCATTCCGATTTGTAAGACAGCACCCCTCCCTGACGTTTCCTTCCATTGGGCATTTTGGCGAGGAGGCCTTAAGTGACCAAAGAAATGGCTGCTGAAGGTGCATACCACGTGCCAGCGCAGGCTGAGCCGCGGCGTTGCTGGAAGAAACTAGCGACGCGGCCTCTGCTCCCAAGGAGCTCACAATCTGATGAAACTACGCGGGGCGCCGAACAAGCCGGCCTAACACAGGATCCACGGCCACGGCGCGGGGCTCTGATCAAGTCCTTTTCACAGCGCCGTCAATGAATCTGTCACAGCGCTCCCGCTGCCGGGAAGCAGGGCCGCACAACCCGACAGAGACAGGAAATGGTAGGATGTGAAGGGAGGAAAGCCGACTCGCCCCGCCTGGAATCAACCAACCGAGATGCCACGATGTCGCCTGGAGCGCATGGGCCAGCTCGGCCTCGGCTCTCTAAACCCAGCGGGGAAGAGCGGCCGAGAAGGAGGCCCTCGGGAGCCCACGTCAGAGCCGTCACCTCGACTACAAACCTGCTGCGGCGGGACGCGGGGGCGGGACGCGGGGGCGGGACGCGGGGGGCGGGACGCGGGGGGCGGGACGCGGGGGGCGGGACGCGGGGGGGCGGCGCGGCTCCGCCTCCGGGGCCGAGGGCGCCGCAGCCGGGAAACCCCGCCCTCAGAGCTTCGCGGTGACGCGCGCGCACGACACAAACCCCCGGCCCCGGCGGCCCCGCACCCCGAGAGTCAGCAAGGGGCCGGGAAGGCCGGGCCCCCCCGACCGCCCCGCCCACCGCCCCGCGCCGAGGGAAAGGCCACCCCGCCCGCTGCAGCTCCGCACCCGCGGCCGCGAGCGGAGGCGGCGCCCGGACCGTCTTCCCGCCCACCCGCCGGCGCCCGCGGGAACGACTTTCTCCCCGCCCGCCGGGAGGCGCGGCTTCCCCCGCTCCGTAAATAGGCCGTGAGCAGCCAGAGCGACAGCGAGGCCTGGCCCCGAGTGGCCCCCGCGCCGCCCCGCGCCCTCACCTTTCAAAGAGCCTCCGCCTCCGCCTCCGCCTCCGCCTCCGCCTCCGCCCCAGGGACCCACCCGGACGGGCGGTGCCCCGCCTCCTTCCGGGGAGCAGCGGAAGTCCCGCCTCTGGGAGGAGCTGGGGGCGGGGCCGGCGGCGGGAGGGGCGTCTTCCGGTCGCCGCGCGTTATTTCAGGGAGCCGTGCGGGTCCGGTCCCAGTTGAGGTGGGGAGAGGGCCTGGCGGGCTGCGCGGGGCCGGGAGCGGCTGTGCGGGCGCGGCCCGGCGCGGGCAGGTGTGGCTCGCGGTGGAAGAGGTCAGACGTAGCCGGCCGGTCCCGTGGGGAAGGAGCCCGTGCCCAGCGCCCGGCTCTTCCGCTCCGCCGCAACTTTGGGGTGTGGCAGGGCCGGTGCCGGGCGGTCCCCCTGGGTGTGGGCGCGGAGGAGGTCTGGGGTGACCGTGGGCGGGGTGCAGCCCTCCCGCGGCCACGGGGGGAGTAACACAGATGTCCATAATCCGGATTATCCGCGGTGACTCGGGGCCTCTTCCCCCGCCCGTCTGAGTTAGAGTTACAGGCCGTTCCCCCAAACTTCCTCCCGTCGGCGGCTCTTGCTCTGCCCTCTCTTGGCGGGCCCAGCAGGTCCGGGGACGCGGCGGGACGCGACGGGGTCAGGGCCCCCAGGGGCACAGCCCAGAGTCTGCGAAAGAGGGGGGCTGTGGACTGCTTCACCCTGGGTCAGGCCCCAGGCCCAGGCCCAGGCCCAGGCCCAGGCCCCAGGCCCCAGGCCCCGAGCCCCAGCATGTCGGGGAAGCGCAAGCGGGTGGTACTGACCATTAAAGATAAGCTGGATATAATAAAGAAACTCGAAGACGGAGGTTCCTCCAAGCAGCTGGCAGTGATTTATGGAATTGGTGAGACTACAGTTCGGGATATAAGGAAAAATAAGGAAAAGATTATCACTTATGCAAGCAGTTCTGATTCCACGAGTCTTCTGGCCAAGAGGAAATCGATGAAGCCATCCATGTACGAGGAACTGGACAAGGCAATGCTAGAATGGTTCAACCAGCAGAGAGCAAAAGGGAATCCTGTATCGGGCCCGATTTGCGCAAAAAGGGCAGAGTTCTTTTTCTATGCTCTGGGAATGGATGGTGATTTCAACCCCTCTGCTGGTTGGTTGACTCGTTTTAAGCAGCGGCACAGCATTAGGGAGATTAACATCAGAAATGAAAGATTGAATGGCGACGAGACTGCCGTGGAAGATTTTTGCAACAACTTCCGAGACTTCATTGAACGCGAGAATTTACAGCCTGAACAGATCTACAATGCAGACGAAACTGGACTCTTCTGGAAATGCCTACCTTCCAGGACTTCTGCGATCAAAGGTAAATACAGTGTCTCTGGGCACAAGGCGGTTGAAGAAAGAGTCACTATCATGTGTTGTGCCAATGCAACAGGTTTACACAAACTGAAACTCTGTGTTGTGGGGAAAGCAAAGAAACCTCGCTCCTTCAAGTCGACGGACACCTCAAACCTGCCAGTCTCTTATTTTAGCCAAAAAGGTGCATGGATGGATCTTTCCATTTTCCGACAGTGGTTTGATAAGATCTTTGTGCCACAGGTTCGGGAGTACTTGAGATCTAAAGGCCTGCAGGAAAAGGCTGTGCTCTTGTTGGATAATTCACCAACACATCCAAATGAAAACGTCCTAAGGTCAGATGATGGTCAAATATTTGCTAAATATTTACCGCCTAACGTGGCTTCATTGATCCAGCCCTCGGATCAAGGGGTCGTGGCGACAATGAAGAGAAATTATCGTGCAGGTCTTCTTCAGAACAACTTGGAAGAAGGTAATGACCTGAAATCCTTCTGGAAGAAGCTAACTCTGCTAGATGCACTTTATGAAATAGCAATGGCATGGAATTTAGTAAAGCCAGTTACCATTAGCAGAGCATGGAAGAAGATTCTACCTACCATAGAGGAAAAAGAAGGCTTGGGCTTTGATGATGAAGATATTTCCATGGCTACTGTGTCCACCATTTTACAACATACCAGAGGACTGGAAAATGTGACTACTGAGAACGTTGAAAAGTGGCTTGAAGTGGACAGTACTGAACCAGGCTATGAAGTGTTAACCGACAGCGAAATCATCAGAAGAGCACAAGGCCAGACAGACGAATCTAGTGAAAATGAGGAGGAGGAAATAGAACTGATTCCAGAGAAACATATTAATCATGCAGCTGCTCTCCAGTGGACTGAAAATTTATTGGATTATCTAGAACAACAAGGTGATATGATCCTGCCTGATAAACTGGTGATTCGTAAACTTCGAGCCACCATCAGAAATAAACAGAAGATGACAACCTCAAGTCAATAATGGCATTTCATTGTTATAGTTTTGGTAATTGTGTCTGTAACTCTTAACCTCTGCGATGTGGCTTAATTTTGTGTTGTCAAGTCTCAGTCACAGCCCTATGAAATACAGATACAGAAATGTATCTGAAGTGTTGGAGGACTATGTTTTGGATCATCTGTGTGTCTTCCTTTATTTGTGCAGATAATTGGAAGCTGATTCTGTATAGATAAAAAATTACATATACACGTGTATTACTTTGGTAGATCTGCAACTATCCCTTCTATTACAGTGGCATTCTCTAAAACCTCAAAAAAATTTACAGGTAACAGTGAACAGATTGAGCACTTTACTGAAATCTGTTGTTTGGTTTATGAGGGCTGCCACAGTAATATTTACTTGTGTTAACATCTTAAATGGTTATATTTTGTGTTCTGCATACACTGACAGAATGAGAAATAATCTATATTTTAGATTTCAGGGTGGTCTGCAATAATTGAAAGTGAAGTCCAATAATGAGGAAGCAGTGATCTATGAATTGTAATTATAAAAATAACTTAGAAATGCTACTTCTGTTCTCTTAACATTTGTTTAGGCGGCAAGGGGAGGAGATTTTCCTGGAAGTAAATATATATGAAGTGATTACTAAATTAGTAAGAAAACTATTTGAAAGCTGATATATGAAAGATATTCTGATCTATTTGTAGAGAAGTGCGAGTTGAGAATTTGGGGAACTTTAGGTTATTTATACAAAGGGAATAAATAGGCTTGTTTTAATTGGGTCTTATATTATGAATTGGGTAATTATTTATTCATGTAATTATAGTACAGGTTTTGTAATGTTACATACATGTGGTGATATGAACTCCCACCTTATATATGGGGATGAATCTTGGGAATTTAAAGTTAGATTTTTTTTACTGTGTTCTTGGAAATGTCTACAGTTTGAAAAAACTTATCATACCTTCCCCTTTTATTTGATACGAAAAGAAAAAGAAATGAATAAAGTTTTTATTAATTTTAACAAGCCATAGGTTGTGACCTGTTTTATGAAGAAAGCAGAAATGATTATGGAAAGTGCCAGATTCTAAGGGATTTCATCATTTACTCTTTTGACACTTGTAAAAAGGTATTCTTTCTTCTAGAATCCATTTAAATTTGAATTTTGATAAATTTGCTTAGTAAATTTACTTTTTATTCAAGACTTTGAAAAGACTTTATGAATATTGATTTAATTTATAACTTAAAAGCAATGTGGGTCTCCATATTATTTCATCCTGCCTGATAAATAGGTATTTATCACACATTTTTTTTTACCCTTAAAAAAAATGTTCTCTATTGGTCATTTTTTTGAAGGTTTAACTTTTAAATTGAAATATTTTGCATTTTATATTTATAGTGCCTTTCTTAGAATTCTAAGACTTCAAAGATACTTTTAGCTTTCCCTTATTTCTGTTATCTTCATGATACATGTCCAGATTTTTTTAAAAAAGACTTCTCTGATGAGAACTGTTTGAAAATTGCTGCATGAAAAAAGCATCAGAAATTAACATACATTATCGAATCAGCTAATTATAAATTATGCTATAAATTAAGTTGTATATCAAAGAAATTTTCATTTTTCTAATATGAAAATGTATAAAAGCTTCTTGGAATTTCTGTCTGGATTTGCTCAATTTTTAAAATTCATCTTGCCGGTGAAATTCAGCTGTATCATTGCCACCTAGTGGTAAAATTAACATTACTGTTAAGCTGTGTGGTTTAAAATATTAATATCTAGTAAAAGGTTCACTGTTTTGTGGCCTTGAGTGGGTGAATCTTGTGACTCCTCTAGCTTGTAAGTGACTGCTCTTGTTTTTTTAGATTTATAGCTATTTGCTTTTTTCCAAAAGCTGTCAACACTAGTAGGCTATAGTTCTTTTTTGAACCCTTTTATCCTTAAGTATAAGTATAAAAGCTGCCAGTTACTGAATACCATGTTATGTTCTAAGCAATGTACTTATTTATCCTCAAATTATGGTGGATATACTGATATTCAGCTCATACTTTTAATTGCTGAAGATCACTTGGCTACAGATAAAAATTTAAACCCAGATATTTAGTGCCAAGAGCCTATGCTTGTATTATTCAACCTAGGCTAACCTTTCCCAGTCTTCAAAATTTATTTCCTGCCACCAACCCCCCTGCCCCTGACCTGTCACAGATGTCTGACTTTGCTTCTCTGTACACTTGTGGCAGCAACTGCCCTTCCCCTTACTCTTCTATGAGGTTAGTCTTTCTCTTTAACCACCCTGTAGTTTCATTTCTGTTTATCCCCAACCCTAATAGCACTTGAAACTTGGATCATCTGCCTTTTGATTTCTGGTTAGCCATGCTCAGTGAGGATCCTTTCTGTCTTAATTTAAAACATACTATTGGGAAAAATAAGCAGTTCATGTGAACATTTCTCTTTAGTTTATGAGACAGTCTCAAAGAGATTTGAGGAGTTGGCACAGTATTTGCTAGACCAGAAATATTGGAAACTGCTTCTATCAAAACCACAGATCCATACAGATCAAAAGGGGAAAAACCCAAATGAGATGATATGGGGAGGAGAAGGAAGGATAGGCTGAAATACAAGAGCTGATTAGAGAATAAAAATGGGACATGTGGGCTGCAGTGAGGTTCATTTTGTAATGATGTGTGTTTCAGCATCATACTCCCAGCCTTACTAGTATGTGCTGCTCATTCATAGATGGTCCATGAATCTCTGCTTTTCTTCTTTCTCTGAGAATGTTAAAACATCAGTGCCAAGTTAAGTGCATTTGATCAGTAATTGGGGAAGGTTAGTAGATGATGACAGAAGCTCTTTGGGTACTATATCTGCCCAAAGTCATAAATCTTTAGTTCCTGATTCCTATTCCCTCAATATCCCACCAGAGGCTGTGTTTGGCTTTCTATTTTTCCTTTAAGAAATTAGCCACAGACAGTATTCTCACCAGTGTTGCCAGGTTTTCCCATTGATGAGCCTCGACAGAACAACAGCTCTCAGAAAACCCCTCTGCATTATGATGTTTCTTAAGACCCATACTTCTAGTAGCCAAGAAGTCTATGAGAGTAGGTCTACCTGCAGCGGTTGATACAGGAAATTAGGAACTTACTTTTTATGAGAGATTTGGACTTTTGAGGGGTTCGATGGTGAGGGAAGTGGAATTCTTTGCCAAGTTTAAATTTAGTGAATCAAAAATTGGTTGAGCCTTACTATATACATAAGATGACTGGGAGTGGTGGGTTTAGGAAAATAAAAAGAGGAAAAGTGGATCTTAAGGTGGAAAAATGACATTTGGAAAAAAAAAATACCCCATCTGTTCAATTTTAAACCCATATAAAACAGCCAACATGATGTGATAGGGACTTTGTAAGAAAACCATCATGATTTATATTGCTTATTCATTCCTTTGCTGGCTCTTACTGTGTATACCATTTACATTTTAAGCTTTTCTTTGTTCTGTTTTTTTTTTTTACTAATCCTGAATGACATTATACATTTCCATTACCTGCATGCTTAAGACCACAAATCTACCTCCAGTCACCGTCTTCAGAAATGCAGATTTGTATCTTCAATTGAGAAGCAGGATTTAAGTGTGGAAGGGAAATTAAAATTGTTGCTTTTCTTCCCCTCTGTAGTAGACATTAGCATTCTGATGTCAAAGCTACCTATATGGGCTAAGGAGTTGACATAATTTTTTAATTGCTGAATTAGGCTTATCTTCTTTGATCTAAAATAGCAAAATAGATAATTATCTATTTTCTTATTTCTGTCCTTAGTTAGCCTTTCTGCCATACATACATGTCTTTGCCTCTGACCATTCCTTCCCACAGGGAGGCATAGTGGTTTCTGTTTTTGATACCCTTGTTGCTACTCAAGTACTAAAATTTAGTTTGTCATGTTCCAGCCCCTAACCTCCTTAAAAGACCATCATTTATACTCTTGACACCAACTATAGTCCTTAGAAATGTACTGTTTTCACAGTTTAGGCAGCTGGCAACTTTGCATAGTAACTAGTCTAATGCAATTTGAAGTTGGATTGAAAGAATGCCCAAAGGGTACCATATCAGTTGCTGGAGACACCTAGATTGTGAAAACTGGTGACTGTAAGGCCTTGGAGTCTTGTAAGACTTGTAATATGTTGTGAACTGATTTTTGTGATCTATGTTTCTTAATACCGGACTATGAGATCAAGGCTCCATGATTTGCAGAGTACTCAGCAAACACTAATTGTACACTTTCTCTAAGACATGTCTTAGGCAATGCATGGGATACGTGGATAAGACTATCTGCTTCAAGAGATTTATATTATAATAGAGACATGTAGGAAAAGGAGTGAATTAAGTGTTCCGACGCTGATGGAATGCAAAGAAAACACTCAACAATTCCGATATGAGTGACATAAAGAAGCATAATCTGATAGGAGAAGTGGAGTCAAAACAATTGAGTTGGTCTTGAAAAATAATTGAAATATTCACTTTAGTTTTACTTGTCTTGAGTCATTGCCAGATGTCCTCCAGGGGGCCAAGTCATCCCCACTTGAGAACTACTACTGTAGAGCTGCAAGATCACAGGTATTTGGTTTGCTTTCCAAGTTATTCAAAATAATATTTATAAACTATTTTTTACCACTATCCCAAGTGACATGGTCTCTGGTAGGTTATTTCCCTGATGCCTGTTGCCTAATCACTGATTTAATACCACATACTTGAGATTTTTGTCACAGCAGCATTCCACTTTGAGGTACCCGTTTCTCTATTGATCTGGGTAACTCTGATGAAACAAAATTCAGAATTTTAGAGATATACCATGAATGTTTTTCTCTTAGCAGTTTTGTAATGATAAAGGACTTGGTTGAAGCATAACTCTAAGTAGTGATTCATGGACCTAGGCTCCTTCCATCTTGTGATTTTGCATTTGCTAGACTCTTAGAGTCTTCTGCATCAAGTTAGAAGATGAGAAAAGAGAAAATGAGGAATGAAAATATACATTGCTTCTTAGAAACTTCCATTTCTCTGAAGTGATATACATTATTTCAGTTCACATTCTAATGATGAGAACTAATCCCCTGGACTTGCCTTCATACAGGCAATGCTTGAGGATGACTTCCTAGCTAGATAGCTGCTTCCTAGTGACAACTTTATACTATGGAAGGGGAAGCCACACATTAGTGAATCATTAGCCCTTTCTGAAACAAGAACAGTGGCAATTATTGTAGAATCATTTAGGGAACTTTTAAAAAATATCGGTGCATGAGTCCTACTCTAAAAGGATCTGATTTAATTAGGGTACTTATGGTGGGTTTTTGTTTTCAAGTTTCCACATATCTCTCAACATGCAACCAAGGGTGAGAACCACAAGATTATGCATTTGCAAGGTAAGCAGAGTAGAAGATGTGGAGACGAGATTAATAGGTTCCTCTGATGGACCATGAGGTCAAGACTATGTATAGAGGCAGAGTAATGAGGAAGCTAAATAAACAAGCAAATTCACACATATATGCATCTCTGTGTGTTTGTAGTAGTAACTGTGATATCAGAGGAGAGACCATAGAGCTTGGAAGAAGAACACCCAGTATTTAAGTCCCAGTTTTACCCATTTTTCAGTTCTAGAATTTTTTTTTAATTTTTATTTATTTATGATAGTCACAGAGAGAGAGAGAGAGAGAGGCAGAGACATAGGCAGAGGGAGAAGCAGGTTCCATGCACTGGGAGCCTGACGTGGGATTCGATCCCGGGTCTCCAGGATCGTGCCCTGGGCCAAAGGCAAGCGCCAAACCGCTGCGCCACCCAGGGATCCCAAGTTCTAGAATTTCTAATTGATTCCTATTTTTCTTTCATGTATAAAACAATCTATTTAAGTGTATTAATTTTACTTATTTGGAAGTTACAGTTTGAATTCTCTATAATCTCTGAGCCTTCTCTAATCTTTGAGTTTGTAGTCTTTCATGGAGTTGGTACTATGCCAACACTTGGACATTGTTAATCGTGCCTTCCTCAGGGAGCTGAGATTTCCTGAAATACTACGGTCTCTGCTTGTATAGCACATATTGTGGGAAGTGTAGAAACATCTGCTAAAGTTTGGTCAGAGCCATTGATAGTGAGAATATGGAATGGACATTATAACCTGCCAGATGGGGAACTTGGGAGCTTGTTTTCTGGGTTTGGATGTACCCCATTCCTCCTGACTTTACCAGCTCCCAGGGGCATTGTTCTATTAATCACTGCAAGCCCTGGCCTTTCTTGAACACAGGCAGAATGTTCTCTTGTGCCTAGCCTTGGAAAGTGGCAGTTATGTGCCTGGATCCTTAAATTAGGCCCCTTGTTGGTTATATCTGAACTTCTGCTCCCAGCTTTTCACCACTTCATTATATAGAACACAATTTTCTCCTACACAATTTATGGTCCTTCAAAAGTTTACCTTCTTGTTTTTAGGATGGAGTCCTTCCTTCTAATCTAATATCTCCATTTATCCTGATATCAGAAATCCTATCAGTGTGATCTTGGGTGAATCTCTAAATCTCACTAAAATGGGGATAATAATACAGATTGTTAAAAGGAATAAATAAAATAATGTACAACACTTTGTGAATGAATGCTAGTTTTTAAGTTCTTAATAGGAAGCATTAAAAGACCAGAGGCATCGAAGATGAAGAGTAGAGTGGGAGAGTAAGAAAATTGAGACAGTAGGAGTTTGTGGTTGAAGGGAGGGTTAAAAGGTCAAGATTTGCAACTCTAGGTATTCACAATGTGTTGAGGCAATATATACAATCAGGCATTCCTTTTTCAATGCTCTATGCTGCCTTCTCTTATTATTGCATGATATGCAGACTAACCCTTTTATTCACACTCTAAGTCAGAAGACACTTTTTTTTCACATTACAGTTGATTCTTGAACAATAGGTTTGAACTGTTAGGGTCCACTTATATGCAAATTTTTACAGCACAGTACTGTAAATGATTTTATAGTTTTCTTAACATTTTCTTTGCTCTAGGTTACTTGTAAGAATACAGTGTAAAACACATATATTAAATATCTGTTAATCAATTGTTTGTTATTGTGTTTCAGTCAACAGTATAGGCTTTTAGTTAAGTTTTGGGGAAGTCCAAAGTTATATGTAGATTTTTGTTTGGGGAGTGGTCAGTGCCCAAGAGCCCCATGTTTTCCAAGGGTCAACTGTATAATTATAAGATATTTGTAGATTCTCACTTTGAGAACCTCTCTAGAAGGAGACAAGTACATTTCAGTTAAGTCCTAAAGGTATCAAGGCAATAAAAAGATCCATTGCTGAAAATCCCTTCCAGGTATATACACTAGTATTTTATGGAAAGTTAGTAAAGTTTTGAGGAAGAGATAAAAGAAATCTGAAAAAGACAAATGAATAAGTAAAGGGATATTGAATAGTGACAAGCATTTGTATAATTTTTTTTGTCTCTGAATGAGAAAAATAAAAAATATAAAACATGATTGATAACTGATGGCAGATTTTTTTCAAAACTTATTTTAAAAACATGATCACATTAGGGGCATGTGGGTGGTGCAGGAGGTTAAGCATCCGACTCTTGGTTTCAGCTCAGGGGGTGATCTCAGGGTCGGGCGACCAAATCCCATGTGGGGCTCTGTCCTCAGCACAGAATCTGCTTGAGGGTTCTCTCCCTTTCCCTTTGCCCCCCCACTCATGCTCTCTCTGAAATAAATAAACCTTTAACAACTCAGCAACAACAAAACATGATCACATTGGGATGATTTCAAATAGACTGAGAGCAGCTATATGGTTTTAGTTACCACTGAAAAGAAACCAGATGGCAGGGGGACTCTACCTTTCCACTAATAGCATTTTCACAAAAAATGTTAGTGATGATTGGTATTTGATGCCATTCTGGAGTCAAAAGAATAAATGGTATTGGGCAGCCAAATCGCTCTTCTATTCCCCATTTTTACATGTCTTTTTTTCTCTCCATCTAATTATTTTCCTTCATAGCATCCTTGTTGTTTGGAGAGTGGGCCTCAGTTGTCTGTCTTTTGCCATTTGTTTTCTGTCTCTTCATACAAGAGTGACAAGGAAAGACCTAAGTGGATCTGTCTGGTATTATAAATTAGTATAGTAATGGAATTGTCAGTACACATGCACACATTTCATTCTTTATAAAAGACTATTTTTAAAAAAGATTTTATTTATTAGAGAGAGAAAGCAAGCAAGAGCATGAGCATGAGAAGTGGGGAAGGGCAGAGGGAGAGGGAGAAGCAGACCTGACATGGGGCTTGATCCCAGGACCCTGAGATCATGACCTGAGCTGAAGGCAGATGCTTAACCACCTGAGCCACCCAGGTGCCCCTATAAAAGACTGTTTTTTGATCAGACTTTCTTGCATACAGCAAGTAAAGAAAAATCTTTGTTGCAGAAATGTATGAAGGCTCTGTGGGAACTGAAAACAAGGCTGCGGGATCCCTGGGTGGCGTAGCGGTTTGGCGCCTGCCTTTGGCCCAGGGCGCGATCCTGGAGACCCGGGATCGAATCCCACGTCGGGCTCCCGGTGCATGGAGCCTGCTTCTCCTTCTGCCTGTGTCTCTGCCTCTCTCTCTCTCTCTCTCTCTCTCTCTCTCTCTCTCTCTATCATAAATAAATAAAAATTAAAAAAAAGGCTGCATTTGATCATAAAATTAAGCACCACTAGAATTCCCTATTTTCATTTCAGTATTTAGGACTAGCTTATTTTTATCCTGTATATTACATATACTTTCACAAATAAAACTGATTGCAATGTGGAAAAATCAGTTATCCATGAAATAATTTTTAAGCTGTGTTTCTGCCCTCATTAGTAGTATCTCTAGTTTTGAATTTTATTGGGAAAAATTGTGTTCCATGTATTAAACAATCAGATATCTTTTAGATAAACATGTACTCCCTTTCAACGTAAGTACTTTTTAGTTCCTTTAACGTAACTATGAAATTTTATAATTCATTCATTCATCTCAAGTATTTATTTACCTATGAATATTTACCTACTTTATAACCAAAAAATTTAAATAATCATCCCCTAATTTCTTCTTGCAGATTTGTGTAATCATGAGCTTGAAATTAAACCCTTACCTATTTTTTATGTTAGAAAAATGGCTCATATTTTAGGTTGCTATACTACTTCATTGATCAATGAGATGATGAAGAGACAGGCTCAGCAAGACTGATGATTTTTGATGAATTTTAGCATTCAAATTGGTTTTAAAAACCAGAATTATTTTGAGGTTATCATTTAGAAATGTATGTAGTATATAACATTTTTTCATTGATTTATATAAATACATGGTACAAATACTCTTGTTAACACACAGTTATTTATGTGCGTGTTTTATATAACCTAGAGATGATTTAATGGCTTTAAAACAAAAAAATTCAAATACAAATAACAGAGTTAAAAATATTCAATAATGGTTATATAAAAATAGAGAGTTAAAGAAAAATGTTCAATAATGATTATATTCTAAAAGTATTAAAATACCCAATATAGGAGTTTTAGTTTAACTGAGTTTTCATAAAATTTCTCCCAACATAATGGATGTTTTCTTGAATTGCAAACATGCCTGCTCTTTAATAATAAGTCTTTAAAAATTTTTTATAGATGGATGCATTAATACTAATCATATACCCTGTAGCTTGACAGAGTTGCCTTCTAATCAAGCTGTGGTCATCATTCTTGCTTAAATATGTGAATTTAGCCTAATTAGGATATAATTAGGTTGAACCTGATTTGGCTTGACAAAAAGCCCTGCAGGTATTCTAAAGTCAAAATTAATTTTCAAGGATTCAACATATTTCTTGTTAGTTCATAACAATGTACAAGGTTACATAGCATTTTTAAAAAGCACAGTACACAAAAGCTTCAAAATCTTAAAATAAAAATCTAATGAAATGGTTTGTTAAAGATGACTGGTGGTGTCCTTTTGTCCACATCTGCTCAACATAAAATGTGTAGGATGGAGAAGAATCTGGTTTGTGGGAGCCAATGTAGAAAAGGCTATGAGTAGCTTATTATCAACCAGTAATTAATGAAATGTACATTAACAACATAATAGTGAATATTTACAGAAGACTTAACATATGCCAGAAATTGTTCTAAGTACTAGGTATTTAGCAAGAGAACTATTTATTGCTCTTAGCATTAAAGAGCAATTTATTTTATTTCCCTGTGGATCAGCTAACAACAGGGAATTAGGCTCAATAAAAGGCTTAACTGGATGTTAGAATTGTCTCCAGACGTGGTGAACTTCCCCCTGAAGTATATGGTTTTCTATAACTAGTAGAGTTAAAATTGTGATTAGACGGCCAGATCACTAAACTATAGCAAAGTGGTTCAGTCACTATACTGGTTGTTGGATGAGATGCTGTTTCAGTCCTGAGGCTCATGATTCATTCACATTGAAGGATTATAAGGAAAGCACTGATCAAATTACCAAACAGAAATAAAAATGTTTTCAGAAGCTTTCATTTACGCATTCAATGAATATTTACTTAGTGCTTACTACGTACCACATACTGTTTTCAACCCTTGGGGATCTGTTTTTACAATAAGTATTGTGAGTTTTGGAATGTTAGTCTTTTCTTTAACTTCTCTAGTTTCAAAGAACCACATTTTGCCATCGAAATATACCCAATTATGGAATATAAAAAAAATTAAGGGAAATCCAGAAAGAATTAGACACCAGATAATGTGCCTTTCTTTGTATAAACTTTTTTTTTCCATAGGAATTTGTGGTTGTTTTTGGCATTTAGGACAAGAGATTGACCTTTTCTCTCTTGTCCATTTAAAATTACTAACTATGCTACAATAACAATAATAATGGATATCATTCACTGAACATTTACCATATGATGCATAGTATACGTCATTGTATCTCTTGTACTGAAGAGGAAATAGGCATAGAGAGGCTTACTAACTTATCTAAGGCTTAGCAGCTAGTAAGAGATTAAACAAAAAAACTGTATTGTGCTTGTTTTCTATTTGGTATGATTAGCTACATACCACATAACCTTTCTAGACAGAGAATCAGTATGCCTGGTGCACTGATTCTCATTTGTTATTGTTTTGCAATTTTAATATATGAGAAAAGGAAGTGGATTAGTAAAATGGAAGAAATTATAGTGGAAGTTCAGTAATGTTTCAACAACACTAACCTGGCCATTCTTTCTGATTTTCCTCTATAGACTCTTCTTCCTATTGGAATTGGAGGTATTTCTTGGCATTCTGTTAGCTCCTCTACCCTGCTCTTCCTTGCCACATAATCCCTGAATGGTCTTATCCCTGATATGACTTCTATCACTAGTCTAACCTTTTATAAATCTCAACTCTACATTTCCAAGTAAGGCCATTTTCCTTTGTTCCATCTAGATCAGTATATCCAACAATTTAGATAAATTGAGGCTTTGAGTTGTATTTTAAACTTGTAAACATTTTCTTTTTATCTATAAAATTAAGTTTTACATTTAGCTATTTCTCTAATTTCAAGAAAACCTACATAATCTTTAGTTAATTTGAGCTATCTCAGTGAGGTCATAATAAACTAAGATCAAATTAACCCCTATGTCAACATAGATTGCAATTTATGTGAATAACAGTTTTCTATGATAAGTTTTCTAACAAATGGAAATACCTAAAATCTATTTTTAAGCTCAAGTTTACAAAGCAATTTTTGGTTTTCTAATCAAACAATTTCAATATTACAGCATTTTTGTGCCATTTTTAAGAAATAGATCTAGATACAAACCTCAAATTCTGATGGTGCAAATAACATTGATTAGTATTTTATGACAACTTGTGTAGTTACTAAACTCTCTTTTGTCTAATTAACAACATGTAATGGTTTGTTGTGAGATTTATATTCTTAAAACATCTATGGTAATAGATTTCCATTGGCATTTCTAATTCAGATGCTGAGATATACATCTTCTGACTCCTATTAAAATTTTTAGTCAAGGTGCATTAAAGAATTTGTAGTTGCGGCTTATCTTTTGCTCAATGGAGTCAAGAGGGGGAATAACGAATATCACATACTTCATTTATTGGCTATAGATGAAAACCAGAAATCAATATAAAGGACTAAGGCATGAGTTGTTATACAACCTACATACACATTCATTTATACATTCCATCATTTATTTGCCAAAATTTAAAAAGTATATGCATAAGTCTAATTGGGATAGCCCTTGTTAAAGAATTTAGGGTCCTAACTACATCTTCAATACTAATCTCATGTTCGCTAGAGTTTTCTACATCTAACAATAGGATCTTGGATCCCACAGTTAATGAAAAGGTCTTATTAAAATCTCTTAAAACATAGTAAGTGCATTATTAGATGATTAGACCCCTTAGATATATGCATTTTATGCTGTTTTCTTTGAAACTCATGATGTTATAATAGCGCTCCAGTTAGCTTCACACATCTGCTCTGAGT